CCCAGGACAAACGGACAAACATACCTGTTATGGTGTTTTTCACCTCGACAGTGTCATACTGGACCCAGGACAAAGTTACAAACGTATACAAACATACATGTTGTAGTGTTTTTCACCTCGACAGTGTCATATTTACTGAGGACGACGTTTAATTGTCAGAACTGTGAGTTACAAGTTATAATATTTGTGGATGACAGATACACACTTATTAATGTGGTTTTAAGGAAGACGGAGATTTTAAAGTTTTTAATTATTGTGTAGGATCTTCAGAAAGAAGTGAAAGATGTTCGGTATTGCCTGAAACAAAAAGAATTCGACTTGGATCTGATTCGATCAGAGAAGGAAGAACTTCGCAAGGAGATGAAGGAGCTAGAAAGTGAGAAACTCAGTTTTATAAAAACTTACTAAACTATTGTCGTTTTATCCCCACTTTATCTAACGGATCTAACTTCCTTTTTCACAGAAACCAGATCTGGTGAACAAAGAGCGTTCTTGAACGAGTTTACTGACTTACGCAAGACGAACTTAGAACAAGGAGAAAAGATACAGGAGCTCTTACAACAGCTTAACATGGCCGAAGAACGTGAGAGTCAGACTGAACGTGAAACAGACGAGTTACGAGGAAAACTAAATCACATCCAGCAACAGGTGAGTTATTTCATCTATAGTTTTTAAAGCACATTTTTGATTTCTTATTGTAATTACATATTTTTCCTCCAGTGTGTAAAGTTTATATAAATTATAGATATAAAGTTATTTCTAATTACAGAAACAATCACGAGCTGTTATAGAGATTTCTTATAAGTGTTGTGTAAAAACAATTGTGTGAAATTCCTTCAATCGTTAGTGTCTTTTCTGGTTTCCTGTGTTTACACACCAGAAAACACACATATATGTCTATCTTAACGATTTGTATCTCTATTAGCTGGAGGTTCTTTCAGTGTAGACTTTCGAGCACATATTTCTAATAATCGACTATAAGAAAACGTGAAGACATCTTGCGGCAGAAACCTGAAATAAATATTTCAGAAGTCGAAAAATTAGAATTGACTGTCATTTAGGTGATAAGTAAAGTTGGTATGTGCTTTTCCATATCCTCCAACTCGTGTTAAGGGATCCGGAGCCCTGATATTACTACAAATGTTCACAATAATATATATCTGCCGTTTTAAAGACTAGCTAATTAGTTACATAGTTCATGCGATTAAAATAATCTCTATTTACTGTTTTTAGAAATTAATACATACTTTATGCGTGTGAATTTAAGACCTCATTGCATCTAGCTCACAGACAATGAAGGTAAAACCGAGATGTATAGGAAAACGGTTGAAGAACAAGAACAAAAACTTGAAGAATGTCAGCTGAGACTGCAGTCAGAAGTGAAGACCCCACAAGAATCAGTGGTAAAAGAACTGAAGGTAAGTCTCAGGAACCACGCTTTGTTAGTCTCCTGAATACTTTCTCACGTACCAGAAGTGTTCACGAAAACCCTCTCTGGAACTGTGGTAAAAGACTAGAAGGTAAGTCGAACAGTGTTCATGAAGACCCTTTCTGGAACTTGTGGTAAAGGACTAGAAGGTAAACTGGACAATGTTCATGAAGACCCTCTCTGGAACCTGTGGTAAAGGACTAGAAGGTAAACTGGACAATGTTCATGAAGACCCTCTCTGGAACCTGTGGTAAAAGACTAGAAGGTAGGTCGGACAGTGTTCATGAAGACCCTCTCTGGAACCTGTGGTAAAAGACTAGAAGGTAGGTCGGACAGTGTTCATGAAGACCCTCTCTGGAACCTGTGGTAAAGGACTAGAAGGTAAACTGGACAGTGTTCATGAAAACCCTCTCTGGAACCTGTGGTAAAGGACTAGAAGGTAAACTGGACAGTGTTCATGAAGACCCTCTCTGGAACCTGTTGTAAAGGACTAGAAGGTAAGCTGGACAGTGTTCATGAAGACCCTCTCTGGAACCTGTGGTTAAAATACTAGGATATAAGTTGTACAGTGTTCATGAAGACCCTCTCTGGAACCTTTGGTAAAAGACTAGAAGGTAGGTCGGACAGTGTTCATGAAGACCCTCTCTGGAACCTGTGGTAAAATACTAGGATATAAGTTGTACAGTGTTCATGAAGACCCTCTCTGGAACCTGTGGTAAAGACTAGAAGGTAAGTTGTACAGTGTTCATGAAGACCCTCTCTGGAACTTGTGGTAAAGGACTAGAAGGTAAACTGGACAAATATCCTAGTATTTTACCACAGGTTCCAGAGAGGGTATTCATGAACACTGTCCGACCTACCTTCTAGTCTTTTACCAAAGGTTCCAGACAGGGTCTTCATGAACACTGTCCAGTTTACCTTCTAGTCCTTTACAACAGGTTCCAGAGAGGGTCTTCATGAACATTGTCCAGTTTACCTTCTAGTCCTTTACCACAAGTTCCAGAGAGGGTCTTCATGAGCACTGTCCAACTTACCTTCTAGTCTTTTACCACAGGTTCCAGAGAGGGTTTCATGAACAAAGTTGTACAGTGTTCATGAAGACCTTCTCTGGAACCTGTGCTAAAAGACTAGAAGGTAAACTGGACAGGGTTCATGAAGACCCTCTCTGGAACTTGTGGTAAAAGACTAGAAGGTAAGTTGTACAGTGTTCATGAAGACCCTTCTAGAACCTGTGGTAAAAGACTAGAAGGTAAGTTGTACAGTATTCATGAAGACCCTCTCTGGAACCTGTGGTAAAGGACTAAGAGGTAAACTGGACAATATTTCTGGAATCAACAGTGTAGGATGAGGTGACATGAGGTATTTTGTTCATAAATACATAATAAAACAGTAGCTAAATGATTGGGCTTTAGGTATTGAAACAAAGACTGTCCTCCTTTGTGTTTTATAAATTAACCTGTATTAATTTACTGATACGTTCAATCAACAACCCACACATTAATAAACGGGAGTTTTCAACAGTTAAGAACGATGTCGATCTAAAGGAATAGTATACGGTGTTCTAATTAAAGTGGGCATAAAAACTGTCTTACAAAGTTTTAGATAACTCACGTGATGTTTTGGAAACAGGATGATACTGATAGTTTCATTAACTTTGGTCAACATGTCTTTTAAGTACCAAAGAAACTGTGGGAGTTGATTGTCCCAGGTTATACGAAGTGTTGTTTTATCAATCGGACTAACTTATCAGATAAACTGTGGGAGTTGATTGTCCCAGGTTATACGAAGTGTTGTTTTATCAATCGGACTAA